CTACCAGTTGTAACATCTATGCAGGGATTTTCACCTCATTTCTGACTACCAGTTGTAACATCTATGCAGGGATTTTTACCTCACTTCTATCATTTTTTCCTATTGACAGAGCTGCTGTTTTAACACATTGATAATCAAGTTCAGCACATTTTTAATGAACAATCCAATTATTAACACGCAAATACAGTGTTTGGTGTTACTGGTGACACTACCTGGCTTAGGCTGCTGCTGTAGTACACACCTTGGGTTTGGCTTTCCTTTATTCAAATGAAGCCCAAGGTCTATTCTCAATCACATTTACTTCCACACATGGCTTTCCTTATTCATTCATTTTAACAGCTTCTTGGAGACAATCCACAGTGAGTTTCCAATTTAGCACACAAGGAGCATGTGGATTCTGTGTGCGGAACATGGGCACCTGAACCATCAGGCTTTGCACCACGAAGGGCTCTCTTGCCTTACCTTAATGCAGTCACCCAGAGGAAATACAGAGGGGCCAGAGATGCTGGGGACATGCGGGGACCCATTACAGAGATTCACCTTGCACATCACCCCGAGTCCAAGGCAGCTCCTGGCTATACACCCCACTACAGGCTGCTGCTGGGCACCCATGGGCCCAGGACCTCACCACCCCCAGGGCCCAACAGCAGTCCCGCGCCATGTGCCTCCCCCAAGACCAGTGCAAAACGGCCACAAGCAAACCAGCATCTCACAAGCCTTTCCCTATGATTTCAAACGCAGCCCAGCGCGCACACTGGACTTGAGAACCTGTACATGGTACAGGTTTCAACAAGCACCCAGTGCCACCCCTAGCTCCAACCAGTGTCACAGCAGCAGCTCTGCCACTCCAACCCCAGATTTAAATAGAAGAGGCAAGAAAAGGCAAGTCTGTTCTGAGCTGCGAGAGCAAGGGGATTAGTGAGATAAGCAGAAGAAGAGATTAACACAGATCAGTACATCTTTATTGTAAATGGCTAGTAGAGATTTCCTTCTGCACCACAGCAAGAATTCCCCCTTCCCTTCCCCAGCCATTCCAAGCCTTGGCTTTACACAGTTTAGCACAGTCCATGTTTCCAGCTCTCAGGCATGAAACCCCAGCATCCTCACATCAAACCAGCCCCCTGCCCTTCATGGCAGCAGGCTCTGCTGGAGAGGACAGAAAGGGCTCTAAGGGTATGGGACAGCCCCCAGCAAAGCAGCAGTGGAGGCCACAGTCAAGTCATCAGAGCAGCACCATTCACAGCCAGCACCTCCTCCATTCCTCGTCCATCCTTCCCACAGAGCACCCATCACCTCCTCTCACAGCCAAACTCCTGTTTCCCTGCTGGCCCAGAGCTTCCACATTTCCCCTTTCCCAACAAGTCCGCACCTTCCAAAAGCCAGCACTTGGAAATGAGTGTTAAGACCAAGACAATCTTGTGGTCCTGCCCCTGCCAGACCAGGAGCACATCTCTGCTCAGCTTTGCTGGACTAAAAGACCAGCACAGGGTGGCTGAACAACAGCAGGCACCAACCCAAACACTGCAGTTCACGGAGAAGCATCTTAGGAAGGAGCCCAACTTGGTAAAGAACAGGTTCAACACATGCAGCCACAGGAGGGGTTCCACAGCCCATCCCTGCTCCGAACCCCAGCATCCCAAGCAGTTCTCCCCAAGAAAAGCAAAGTCAGCTCACGGTCACACAGGGCTCGGCTCCTGCAGCACATCCCTTGGCTGCCTGGAGCAGGTCCAAAGGCAGCCATCCCATGCAGCTCCAGAGGCAGAAACAAAGTGGAGGCACAGGGAAGGGGTTTTATAGGGCAAAACAAGCCCCACCTGGGCAGCAATGAGGCAGCCATGATCACCATCAGGTGTGCAGGGCCCACCTCTTAAAGAGCCACCACCAAAGACAGGCTTGTCAATGCCCGTCACTCCCTGGGTGCTGATGTTCAGACTGCACCGTGGCCAACAAGGCAGTGCCGCCTGGGGAAGGACTGGCCAGGAAAGAGATCTCGCTCTGAGCAGTGACCAGCACAGGCTCAGAGCACACACATACACAGAGCTACGTATCGGGGAGCAGGTTCAGTCACCACGGCCACAAATCTCTCTGGGGTACGGAACAGAGAAGAGGGAGGGACAGTGCAGGGCACGGGCGACCGACGCAGCTACTTCTTCTCCTGCTTCTGCTGCTGGTACCTCCTGAAGTGGGTCTGGATGGTGACGGCCGCCTTCTCAGAAGGATCACTGAAGAACTTGCTCTGGCTGCTGGCATCAGGGGTCACGTTGCCTGGGGTGACAACCAAGTATTGCAGTGAGAGCAGGCGGTGCTGAGCAGGCTCTGGCATCCCTCATGGGGTCAGACTGGCCCCTGCATGGCCCTGGCAACCTGCAGGGCACCCACGGACAGGAGGTGAAAGAGGCTGGAGAATCCCCAGCATGAAACCACAATCCCACTGGCTCCCAGGGCACATCTGCAGGGAAGAGGGAGCTGGAGCAGGGAACAGGAGGCAGAGAAGAGAGCCCAGCCTCCCTGGCAGCGCTAAGCCCTCTATTTACGCAGCTTTAGTCCCCAAAGACCTCAGCTTCCCCACATTTAATCACCGAGTATGATGCTCACTTACTTTCACACACACAAATAAGATTAGAAAAAAGCCCAGCACTGTACAGCAATAAAGCTCTCACGCTGACAAATGGGAGCCCTCCCCACCTCGCACTTAATGTGGCATTAGGGAAGTATTGTGAAATTCAACAGGAGCTGAATCAAAGCCACTCAGCAGCGCTCCTTTCTGCCAGCGTGTCACTGCTAAGCACCCCCTGAGCAGCCATCAGAAACCCCTGTGCCAGATGCTGCTGCATAAACTCACCACTCACCTGCACCCGCTTTTATTCACAGCCTAAAAGAAACTGCAAAGTAAAAAGGATAAATAAAAGGGGGGTGCATTGTGAATGGGCTCCCTCCTGCCCTGTTCAACAAGAGACATGGGATGTACGTCCTGCATGGCCACCGTGGCCATGATGCTGTATATGCTCAGGAATAAGCCCCCGGCTGCACCGCTGCGCCAGGACAGGTGCCACTGTCAGCCCAGAGGCTGCCGCCCACTGCCAGGGCAGCGGGACCCCCACAGCAGAGGTGCTGGGCCATGCACCAAGGAGGAACATCACAGCTCAGCCCCCCCCGGCACTTCACCAGCCTTCGGCCCGAGCTGCACTGGGAATAGAAACACCAAATCCTCTTTGCTGAGCGCTTGACTTGAGCAGGGAGGGCAGAGCCTCGGGGACAGGAGTGAGGAGGGGAAAGAGGGGCACCTCCCGGCTGGTTTTGCCAGGCCAGGGAGAAGAGGAAGAGGGGCTGCTCTGGGGGACTTTGACACATGTGATTCCATGGGCAGCTTTCATGGGAAGAGGTAGGCAAGCACATGCGCCCATGCATGTGTGTGATGTTGTATGTTCACTGGGGCCTCCACTTGCTGACACCGCAGGTTTTAACAAACATCTTCCAAAATATCCATTAATAATGTCAGAGAGAGATTTTTTGGGAGAAAGAGGCCAGGAAGGGCCCAGGAATTGCAATTCCTGCTCTTCTATTGCACCCCACAGTCGCAGCCACGCATTTCCCCTGTCGCTTGTGCAGGGCTGGCGCCCTGCCTGCTCTGTACTCACCTTTCTCTCCAGAAATGGAGTAGATGCTGTTGTGCCGGGAGCTCCTGCCTCTCTAGAAAGGTAGAGAACACAAATACAGCACAGTTGGTGATACCTCAGGCAGAGGCAGCAAGAACAGTCCCTTGCAGGCCAGATGGGAAGCTCTGAAAGGGACAGGGCTACCCTCACCAAGCTCACCACTTTCCCTTTAGGAAACCGAAACATACTCACTGTTGTTTCCTTAAAGAGCACTGATTAATTTCTGTTTATTAAAAGTCCTCCAAGGAGAAGCAGGAGAGTTTTGTGTCAAAAACCACATCTGTGATGTGCTGGTAGCACCTGAGGATGCACATTGGCACAGACCTCACTAGACCTGCATTTCAGATCAGCTTGGAACCAGACTTGCTGGGTTTGTATCCCCTACCATGAAACCGCAGCACTGGGATGTCAGCTCAGCCAGGGGAGATTTTCGTTCCTAAAGATAGGCTTGATTTTGTCCACAAACACCTTCCCTACATTTTTCAGCTTATCCTACCTCAGGCATTACCCTGTTTTCTGTCTTCCAAGGGGAAGAGGGAGATCTCAGCCCCCTGCCCAAGCCTGTATGGTCACATCCCTTGGTGCCAGGAGCACCACGACGCCAGCCCTCACCTCGCTGTCCCGGCTGGTACGGCGGCTCTGGGTCACACACTGGATCTGCCAAGGCAGGGGCTGGTACACCAGGTATGGCAGGGGCTCCTCATGGAACAGGCTGCTCCCCAGCTGGGCACAGAGAGGATGTGCAGCAGGTCAGAGGACAGAAGCAGAACAACAGAAAGAGCTGCTTCTCCACACACGTCACCGGTGAGCAGCTGCGGTGATGCTCCGTGTGTGTTGTGGCACCACAGCGGTGAGAAAGGCTCATCCCGAGGTCGTGGGGCTGCAGAGCTCACAGGTAACAACAGCGAGTCCACATGGCTCTGCACAAAGCATGGGAGCCGGACCCACGGGTTAGGGAGGCACGGAAGGCCATTCCCAGCAGGGCAAGCAGGGCTCCCTGCCTCCTCTCCCTGCATGGATACCTGCTCTGGACACCGCAGGAGGCGGGAGGCAGGGCTTGGAGCTGTGCTGCAGCTCACAATGGCACAGACACTTCCCACTGCACCCCACAGCACCCAGCGGGGCCAGGGCACACCGCTGCCCCCCGTAAGATAACCCACAACCTTCTAAGAAGGAAAAGGGAAGCACTAAATGCTCCTGGCTGCCCGGACTCACCCGTCCAAACGCCCTCACCACAAAGAACAGCGCTGTCATCAGGGTCGCCAGCATGGCTGGGGGGTCCGAGGGAGGCAAAGCCCCGGAGCAATGCACAGCGGTCTCTGAATAGCCAGGGACTGACGTGTTCCTTCTCCAGCAGGCAGAGGCCAAGCCCCTTAATGAGCTTAGGGCTTGTGTTCGTCCTGGCAAAGTAATCGTGCGCTGTCCTTTTGCTCTCGTAATCGCCGCGGTTCTCACACACGCGGCAACAGAGTGCCGGGAAAAGCAAATCCTCTTCCCTGTGTACGTGCACAGACACGGGTGTGCACACCCCACACACCCCACACACCCACGGGCCAGGGCAGCCCCTCCGATGGGGCTGGTTCTGCACAGCATCACAGCAAAGCCTCCGGCACCCAGCAGGCACCTGCAGTTCAGAGGGCACTTGGGACCCCTGCGCTCTTGGCACAGCAGCTGCCTTGGGTTGGGAACAAGGATTTGTCCCCAGAAGCGCCTACCTGGACAGCGTGCGTTGCCGTCCTCCTCCAGTGGCTCTTACCACAGCTCTCGAGCAGACAAAGACACACAAGTGCAGACCTTGCACAGCAAGAACTGGGGTGATGCAAGGTTTGCTGCTGGTTTGTGTCTGGTTTTTGAGGATGTTCCTCTATCAGCCTCCATTTCTGCAGGACCAGCTGATCCACACACTGTTCTTCCTGTACCTCATCAGTCCAACAGCTTTCCTCTCCCCAGGGTGCCCAGCAGCAGTCACACTCCTTCCTTTCCAACCCTCCCACCACAGGCAGAGCACAAGCATGCACAGCGTCCATGTGCCTCACGCATCCTCTGACCATGTTTGACTGGTCGTACCAGTAGCTAAAATCACACTAGGTTCACCCAGAGCCCCCTCATCCCCATCCATCTGAACCTCAGATTTCGGGAGCAATCAGTGCAGGAGAATCAGAGCTGGAGAAACAAGGGCAGGCACTGAACACACACGGCTGGGCTATGGGTGTCCCGGGCCTGCTGGTTGGAGATGAGAAGAGGAAAGGAGCAAGCCCTGGGAAGACAAGAGCACTTCACCCCTCCAGCAGCACCCAAAACCCCACTTGGGAAAGCAGTAGTAACCCCCACGCTGCAGTGAGCCAGTCTTAACACATCCCGGGTTGCTGTGAGCAGCTCCAAGGGGAGACCCCTTCCCCACCGGTGCCAGCCTTGAGCTGCACCACACACAGCCCGTCCTCTGGCCTTGACACACAGCTCCAGAGCCTCTGTAATGAGGCAGGGTGACAGCTCCTCGAAAAGGGCAGGGTACGAGCCTGTGTAAAGCTGTCCTGCTGCTGAGAGCCCCAACGATTGCTTCTGTAGCTTTGCTTTTTAGCTTTTGATCTGCCCCTGCATTCCCTACCCTGGCCAGGTACTTAATAGAATAATGGTGATAAAGGCACAGCGAGCTGGAGTGGTCTTGGAAATTGCCAGAAGTGACCTTGACAAAACAAAACTTGAAACAGCCCGGAGCCGAGCGAGGGGAAGAGAAGCTGATACCCAGGGCTACAAGAGAACATCTCATCGAGAGAAAAACAGAGCTACAAACATCACGGTCGTACAAAACAGGCTCACGTTGATTTAATTGGAGTACAAAACCAGATACAGCTGCTATCACAGGTTTTAACAGGGAAAGGAACATGTTCAAAACGAGTTATTGCTAAGAAAAGAGGCATTTCTCTGCACTGCAACACACAACCTGGACACAGCAGTGTGGCTTTGGTCACAGTGGGTTGCCAGAACCATAGGGTCCCCTCTGAAACACCCAACTGGAAGGACTGCCACGTGTCCTACCCATAGCCAGGAACCCTAAAGCGAAACCCCTACAGATGGGGATTGGTGCAATCCTACAGGAGATGGGCGTGTCCTACCCATAGCCAGGAACCCTAAAGCAAAACCCCTACAGATGGGGATTGGTGCAATCCCACAGGAGATGGGAAACCTGCGTTTGGATCTCCCCTTTCAGCCACAGCTGGTAAGGGCTGGCTGGGATTTCCTCAGCAAGGACTACCCTGTATTTGGTTAGCACCCAGAAGGTGGGAGAATATGGACCTGACCACAAGATCGAGCTGTCCCAGGATTAAGAAATTCCAAGAAAATGAGGGGGAAAAAAGAATTATTCAAATTTTATTCAGAGTTTTAAAATTCCATTCATCAAAAATATATTTCTCTTTGCATGTAAACGTTCCCCTGTGCCAGTACACAGGGAAGGAAAGCAGGGGAGGCTCTGCTTTACTCTGCTACACAGTCACGAGGAGCACAACCAGCACTAACGGGTGCAGAGCAGCAGCCTCAGCATCCAAGGAGAACGGCTTTGAAGATGATTTCTCACAGATGGGATTCCCCTGAAACGCAGCCT